ATATTGCCGAAGTCAGGCAGCCACCTCATCCACTATTGGTTCCTCTTCACCTTTCCATTCACCTTTCCAACACTGCCAATGAGTTGGCATATGATGATGGGGTGCTCTGTACAAACTTCTGCCACATGGACCTTGTGCATTGGTTCTCATCAGGATCTGTGGGTAACTGTGCATTGTCCAGGTCATAATAAATCATCTCCTGCATGGTTAATTCTCTCAGGTACTGGATACCTCTTTCCATGGTGGTCCACTTGCTCAGATGACATACAACATCTTCACTGAAGGGGTACCTTTCCCTCATGCCTGACAGAAGCCGCCTCCAGAGGCTGAGGGCTTGTGTCTTTTTCCCAATTGCCTTGTCAATGCCCCCTTCTCTAGACAGAGATCCCAGCTGCCTGGCTTCCCTACCCTCGAATTCCAAACTACTGGCTCCATTATCCCAGCACCGGAGCAGCCAGGTGACAATGTGCTCACCTGGAAGTCAGCTGAAATCTTTTCGCATGTCCTGCAGCTCACTCAGGGACAGGGACTGAGTGATTATCTCTGGTTCCACCTCTTCCTCTTGTTCTTGTGATGACCCTGGATCATTGTCATCCCTCCTGAGCGAACTGATTTCTTGGTGTATTTATTCTTCTGGGTAGGGACAACTGATACAGGCAGGGGTTGGTTTTCTGGTTCACTTGCAGTGCCTGTCACTGGGCTTGGAGTAACCACAGTGCCTGCCACTGGGGTTGGAGTAGCCACAGCGCCTGCTGCAGGGGTTGGAGTAACTGCAGTGTCTGTCACAGGAGTGGCAGTAGCCACACTGCCTGTTGGCCTGGTTTCCATCTCTTTCCCCTGAGGATGCTGTGCAACATTGAGCAATGCTTGGTAGATACTGGCCAGGGCCCAGCACAATGCAGTGAGCTGTGCCTCTCTGTAGTAGCCATAGCATTTTCCTTTCAAATATTCTATCACTTTAGCAGGGTCCTGTAATTGTTTGGTGGTGAAATCCCAGACCATTGGAGGTGAAAAACTCTCTAGATACCTGCCCATGTCTCCCACATGCCATGCCACCCTGACTCTCCAGCCTTGGGGCAGATCTCTGGGCAGTAGTCTTAAACAGTTGCTTAACCCTAAACAAAAACTGAAACACATTCAGGAGACCTAGCAATAGGACCAAGCTGGTTTGCATGTCCCAAGGGTATTCAAAATTCTCAAAAACTGGCATACCTGGCACGAAAGAGAAAAGGGAGATCAAAGAGCTGGGGAAAGTATCCGCCCCTGCTTCCCCCATAGACTCAGTGTGTTTATTAATAAATTATTAATAAATTATTAATAATTCTCCGAGATATGGGCAGGAAAGCAGTGCCGAATAAACACTCCAACATAACCATCTGAACAGTGACGCTATCATATCATAAGTTGGTTGATATCACACAGGACAGTAAAATTATAATCCTTGATCCCTCTCCCAGAGGTGATAAATATCATCATGGGGAATACATAGAACACGCTTTGGTCAGATCTGTCATTATCTCAACCCTCCGTGTGCCCCATGTTGGGTGCCAAAAAGGACTGTCACGGTTTGGCCTCAGGCGGCAACAAAGGACCAAGTGGCAGCTGCTTGCTCAGACTGGAGCCCCCACAGCCACCACGGCCATGAGGGGAGAATCAGAAGAAAAATGCAAACTCGTGGGTTGAGACAAAGGTAATTTAACAGAACAGCAAAGGGAACAAGAAACAACACCACCACTGACAGAGGAATATACAACCACGATTGATACCACCACTTGCCAACCACACCTGGGGCATACCTGACGGATCTGCTTCCCCAGAGGAGACTTCCTTCCGCCGCTCCCCCGCCTTCTCCCCCCACGACTTCCTGTCCCTCCCCTTCCCCAGCTAGCTCCAGCTACCCCCTCTGCATGGCTCATATGGGATGGCATACCTGTGTCCCTGCTATATCCTAGGGAGAATTAACCCTATCCCTGCCAGACCAGGACAGTATACATACATCATAAGGTGCAAAAAAACCAAAACTACACTCTTCAAGATCCACAAAATCCGCCCACTAATGTATGCATTTGTATGTATTGGCACAATGTACAAGACTGGGGGCAGAGCACAGCAAAGGCTCTGATATTTCAAAGCGCACCTGGCTGGTAAAGAGGGAACTGGCCTCTTCAGGAGAAATAGGAAGAGCGGTTTCCCCTTGCAGAGATCCCAATTCCCGCCCCCCCTACACACATCCATCCTCCTTTGTGAGGGTGGTGCAACACAAAGCCTTCCCCTGGTAGAAGCCTCTGCCACACATATTGACTGGAAGGATGTTTGTGTCCTAGAATCCTTGTCCCTGTATCCTTGAAAAAAGAAAGAAAATGGAAGCAAACCACCCCTCTCACAGGAGAGAGGAGTTTATCTTCTGCACTTGCAGCAGTCCTGCCCCACGAAGCTTTTTCCTGTCTCTGTGACTTTCCCCACCTAGAGTAGAAGTATTTAGTCAGCTCTGCCTGTCCCTAGGACTTGTAGCAGCAGTGTGAGGCTGTTTCCCTGCAGTTTGCAGAAGGCAACAGAGCTCTGGCTGGACACTGTCCAAAGCCATGCCCTAGGAGTAAGCCTGAGGTGTCAGTGTGGCAGGTGGTGGGATGCTCCAGATGCAGCTGGAAGGACAAGTACACGCACTGCTGGGAGCAGCTCCTGGGCAGTGAGGGTGGAGCGGCTCAGCCGTGCTTTGTTGAAGTAAGGCCTTAACTTCACTTGCCACAGGACCCGGTGCGTGGTGGGAAAGGCTGGCAGGGCTTGCGGGGATACAGCCCACCATCTTCATCCACACACAAAGACCCTGACCCTGGGGCCACAGGGATCAACCAGTGGGGCTCTGCCTTGAGGCTCACCTCAGCCCACCAGAGATCGTTGCCCTGCTCTCCTGCTCTCAGCTCTCTCTCCTTCAACTGGAGGGCTGGCTCCTGGCCAGAGTTTTCCGAGGTGTCCCCATCACCTCCACTCCACCCTCCTAACCAAGAGGTGTTACAGAAAAGGCTAAGGAGCCTGAGCAGCACTTTGGCAGAGTCAAGCCACCCAACTGAAAAGCTGCCACCCGTAGCTTCCCTCTCCACAGGCACGGTGGTGCCTGCACAGCTCTGGGTGCCTGTGGCAGCGCTGGCCTGGGTGTCCTGTAGTGCTCTGGCTGTGTGAGCCCCCGGGCAAAAGCCCCTCCTCAGCAGGGCTGTGCAGCCATGGCAAGGCCCAAGCTAGGGACCCAGAGGTGCGTCAGCCACAGGGAGCAGGGCTGCAGCCCAGCTGGTACAGCAAAGTCCTGGGAGAGGGCTGCCCCTGGGGCAGGCCTGAAGCTCCAGCCCTCTTTCCTGCAGTGGCCTCTCCTTGCCCCACCAAAGCGCACCTGAGGGCACATTTCACAGCCACCGAGGAAAAGCCCACAGGGTCAGACACAGCGCTTTGCAGATGGGGCTTTATTGAAATGACAGAAGTGGTGATGTTAACAGCCTGACTGGCCAGCACAGGCACTCATCGTGGTGGAGGAGGCTCTTGCTGGATGTCTCTCTCGGCAGCCTTGGCATCCAAGAGGCTCTTCTGGCACTTGCAGATGCAGACTAGATCTGCTCCTGGGAGCTGAGGAGTTGAATAAAGTTCTGCAGTCTTGTATGCACAGAGAAGTGCAGAGCAACACTACAAGTGGGATCTGATTCTGTCTACAGAGAGCAGGCCCGTGGTGCCTGTAATGCAATGCCAGCCCACTGCTCTCTGTGCCATGAGGGCTGTCTTTGCCCGGGGCTGCGGGGTGTCAAAGGAAGGAAGGGCACTGCTGGGCAGGGTCGAACAGCACACGTCTGGAGATCCTTACCTGGGGGACTGCTCCTCAGCATCACAGCCATGGGTTCGTCCCTCTTCCCAGGAGGTGGGTGGCTGCTCCCTGCAGAGCCCAGTGGCTCCACGCGGAAAGGCTCCTACCATAGTAAGGACAAAGACCCACATCTTGAATGAGACCCTCCTGCCTCTCCTCTCTCTGAGTTGCCCCCATCCCCACAGTCCCATTCAGTGCCAGCTGTGCTTGGGGCTGCAGAGAAGCATCTGCCTTCGGGGACCAACCTGTGCCATTCCTGTGGCATGAGAAAGAAGAGGATGCTGTCCGTGTCCTGACCTGTGGCTCTGGGATTTGCCTCCCTTGTCCACAGCTGGGTCACCAGCCACCAGCTGGCACAGGTCTGGCCTGAAGCTGGCACACACTCATCTTTTCAGAGATGAGGACTCTGAAAGGCAAAGGCTTGGCTTGTCATTTGGGCTCTCCTCATCCTCCACGGATGGCTCTTTTCTGTCCTCTCCCCACTACTCTGGAGTGCCACAAATGCAGGAGCCTTGCACACGGGTGAGCACAGGAGATGTCGCCAGGGAGCCAGGAAGGGGCCTTGAGCTGGTACAGCTCCACATAGGACAGTCAGCCCCTACGCTCCTAGGGCTTAGCGACCTTCCCACCATGGCTCCCCAGAGGGAGGGGAATGCTCTGTTCCTAATTGTTTTTCACTGCCTGCAGTCCCTGGGTCTCCCATTGCTTTTGCTCTTCTTCCCAAGCCTTCAGGGATGCCACTTTTCCCCTTGACTGCTGCAGGCACTTCCTGCGCAAGGAGTCCCAGAGCCTGTTTCTTTCCTCCTCTGTGCACAAGCGAGGCTGTGCTTGCAGGGCAACAGCAATGCAGCAGCAGAAAGCGTTAGTCTCCCCAGTGGAGGGCTGGGGCAATTTTCGCTCTCCCTTCTTTTCAGCCTCTCTGTCAGCCCTGCTTTGCTCGCAGTCCTCACAGGCCATGCTGCAGCGCCTTTCTGCAATTACCCCTGAGCCAAGTGGCCATGGGGCTGAAAGCAACCCAGCTGCCTGCTGTCCCAGACAAGCCTAGCAGTGCTGTTGCCATTACAAACACCACCAAATCAAGTCTTTGGGTGTTTCTGGACATGACAGAACTGAAGGCTGTCTTCTAAATCGACAAAACAACCTGCTGCTTCTCGAGAAAGCCTAGGGAGAAGTGCTTCAGCCTTCAGCTAAGCACACTGTATGGGGTCTTCCAAGACATGACATCCGAAGAACTGTGCTTTTCTCCAGGAAGATATGACACTCCAGTCCCTTCAGGAGCCCATGCCACATACCAGTTCTTCCCTCTTCTTCTCTGGTCCAGTGGGGGGTGCAGGTTGTGGTCCAGCTTCCTCCAGTTGTTGGCCACTGTGTGCCTCTTTCCCCAAACGACGCCACCGCAGCACTGCCAGCTCACTGCAGACACACGGCGGGAGGAGGAGGTATGAGCACAGGGAGATGGCTCTCCAGCCAGGGCTCCCAAGCTGGGCACCTGCCAGGGCTGCAGGAGGCAGCTCTGCTGAGAGGCCGGTGCCAGAAGAAGTGCTTCTCTTCCTCCCCTGGTGCTGCGAGGAGCCGGAGGAAGGGCACTGTCAGATAGGAAGCACTGCCCGTGTCTGGAAAGACTTACCACCTGAGCTTGTCCTGCAGATCCCTCTGGTCATCCCTCTGTCTCCTGCGCTCGCGGGTGACCTTCGCCAGGATGCATGTCACCACCTCCAACAGAGTCTGGTGTGTCCGTGGGGAAAGGCTCCTACAACAGCAAAGACAAAGTCTTTCTGAGCCTTCAGCTGTGACCCTCCTGCCTCTTCCCACACCCAGCCCCACACATACATGGGCTCACTTGGCCCCACAGCTCCTTCAAGGCAGGAGAAGTTTCAAGCACCTGCTGTGGCCCCTGCCGTGGCCCCTGCCATCAGGCTCTAACCCAGCTCGTTCCTGTGGTTGGAGAAGTCCCCAAGTGCTCTGTGCGGCCCTGTGGCTCAGGGGTTGGCTTCCTTGACCCACCACCGGTGGCTCACCACCACCCCATTGCCCCAGGCCTTGCCTGGAGCCAGCGTGCTCTTACCGCTTAGGGGGGACAGTGTCATCCTTGTGGACAGTGAGGTGCTCTTCTACAGTCTCTTCGCAATCCTTCATCATTATCTCCAGGAGGTCAGGGCTGGTGAACTCCTCCATCTCCACGCTAGTCAGGGGGCTGACTGAGGGTTGCTCAGAGGAGCTGGATTTCTGCACAGGAAGAGACTCTCATACAACAGCCCTGCACCCGGAGGGTGCCGCTTCCCAGCATGCAGACCGCAGACCACTTCTGGAGAGACCCCGGCAGGACAGGCAAAACCACAAGGACCTCAGCATGCCCTTGAGGTGACGCCCAAGTGTCACCAGGGTTTCACCACAGCTCCCTGCCCTCTTGCTCAGGAAAGGTAGCAGTTACCCACCCAGCTCCGCTGCAGCAATGCTGCTATGATGACTTGGGTGGAAGAAGTACCTTACAATCTCAGCCCCCTTGGAGGAGAAATGGCCCCTTTTCTGCAGGAATTTAAAGTACCTGGCTCTTCTCCGTCTTCATTTTTGCACAGGACAGTAAAATTATAATCCTTGATCCCTCTCCCAGAGGTGATAAATATCATCATGGGGAATACATAGAACACGCTTTGGTCAGATCTGTCATTATCTCAACCCTCCGTGTGCCCCATGTTGGGTGCCAAAAAGGACTGTCACGGTTTGGCCTCAGGCGGCAACAAAGGACCAAGTGGCAGCTGCTTGCTCAGACTGGAGCCCCCACAGCCACCACGGCCATGAGGGGAGAATCAGAAGAAAAATGCAAACTCGTGGGTTGAGACAAAGGTAATTTAACAGAACAGCAAAGGGAACAAGAAACAACACCACCACTGACAGAGGAATATACAACCACGATTGATACCACCACTTGCCAACCACACCTGGGGCATACCTGACGGATCTGCTTCCCCAGAGGAGACTTCCTTCCGCCGCTCCCCCGCCTTCTCCCCCCACGACTTCCTGTCCCTCCCCTTCCCCAGCTAGCTCCAGCTACCCCCTCTGCATGGCTCATATGGGATGGCATACCTGTGTCCCTGCTATATCCTAGGGAGAATTAACCCTATCCCTGCCAGACCAGGACAGTATACATACATCATAAGGTGCAAAAAAACCAAAACTACACTCTTCAAGATCCACAAAATCCGCCCACTAATGTATGCATTTGTATGTATTGGCACAATGTACAAGACTGGGGGCAGAGCACAGCAAAGGCTCTGATATTTCAAAGCGCACCTGGCTGGTAAAGAGGGAACTGGCCTCTTCAGGAGAAATAGGAAGAGCGGTTTCCCCTTGCAGAGATCCCAATTCCCGCCCCCCCTACACACATCCATCCTCCTTTGTGAGGGTGGTGCAACACAAAGCCTTCCCCTGGTAGAAGCCTCTGCCACACATATTGACTGGAAGGATGTTTGTGTCCTAGAATCCTTGTCCCTGTATCCTTGAAAAAAGAAAGAAAATGGAAGCAAACCACCCCTCTCACAGGAGAGAGGAGTTTATCTTCTGCACTTGCAGCAGTCCTGCCCCACGAAGCTTTTTCCTGTCTCTGTGACTTTCCCCACCTAGAGTAGAAGTATTTAGTCAGCTCTGCCTGTCCCTAGGACTTGTAGCAGCAGTGTGAGGCTGTTTCCCTGCAGTTTGCAGAAGGCAACAGAGCTCTGGCTGGACACTGTCCAAAGCCATGCCCTAGGAGTAAGCCTGAGGTGTCAGTGTGGCAGGTGGTGGGATGCTCCAGATGCAGCTGGAAGGACAAGTACACGCACTGCTGGGAGCAGCTCCTGGGCAGTGAGGGTGGAGCGGCTCAGCCGTGCTTTGTTGAAGTAAGGCCTTAACTTCACTTGCCACAGGACCCGGTGCGTGGTGGGAAAGGCTGGCAGGGCTTGCGGGGATACAGCCCACCATCTTCATCCACACACAAAGACCCTGACCCTGGGGCCACAGGGATCAACCAGTGGGGCTCTGCCTTGAGGCTCACCTCAGCCCACCAGAGATCGTTGCCCTGCTCTCCTGCTCTCAGCTCTCTCTCCTTCAACTGGAGGGCTGGCTCCTGGCCAGAGTTTTCCGAGGTGTCCCCATCACCTCCACTCCACCCTCCTAACCAAGAGGTGTTACAGAAAAGGCTAAGGAGCCTGAGCAGCACTTTGGCAGAGTCAAGCCACCCAACTGAAAAGCTGCCACCCGTAGCTTCCCTCTCCACAGGCACGGTGGTGCCTGCACAGCTCTGGGTGCCTGTGGCAGCGCTGGCCTGGGTGTCCTGTAGTGCTCTGGCTGTGTGAGCCCCCGGGCAAAAGCCCCTCCTCAGCAGGGCTGTGCAGCCATGGCAAGGCCCAAGCTAGGGACCCAGAGGTGCGTCAGCCACAGGGAGCAGGGCTGCAGCCCAGCTGGTACAGCAAAGTCCTGGGAGAGGGCTGCCCCTGGGGCAGGCCTGAAGCTCCAGCCCTCTTTCCTGCAGTGGCCTCTCCTTGCCCCACCAAAGCGCACCTGAGGGCACATTTCACAGCCACCGAGGAAAAGCCCACAGGGTCAGACACAGCGCTTTGCAGATGGGGCTTTATTGAAATGACAGAAGTGGTGATGTTAACAGCCTGACTGGCCAGCACAGGCACTCATCGTGGTGGAGGAGGCTCTTGCTGGATGTCTCTCTCGGCAGCCTTGGCATCCAAGAGGCTCTTCTGGCACTTGCAGATGCAGACTAGATCTGCTCCTGGGAGCTGAGGAGTTGAATAAAGTTCTGCAGTCTTGTATGCACAGAGAAGTGCAGAGCAACACTACAAGTGGGATCTGATTCTGTCTACAGAGAGCAGGCCCGTGGTGCCTGTAATGCAATGCCAGCCCACTGCTCTCTGTGCCATGAGGGCTGTCTTTGCCCGGGGCTGCGGGGTGTCAAAGGAAGGAAGGGCACTGCTGGGCAGGGTCGAACAGCACACGTCTGGAGATCCTTACCTGGGGGACTGCTCCTCAGCATCACAGCCATGGGTTCGTCCCTCTTCCCAGGAGGTGGGTGGCTGCTCCCTGCAGAGCCCAGTGGCTCCACGCGGAAAGGCTCCTACCATAGTAAGGACAAAGACCCACATCTTGAATGAGACCCTCCTGCCTCTCCTCTCTCTGAGTTGCCCCCATCCCCACAGTCCCATTCAGTGCCAGCTGTGCTTGGGGCTGCAGAGAAGCATCTGCCTTCGGGGACCAACCTGTGCCATTCCTGTGGCATGAGAAAGAAGAGGATGCTGTCCGTGTCCTGACCTGTGGCTCTGGGATTTGCCTCCCTTGTCCACAGCTGGGTCACCAGCCACCAGCTGGCACAGGTCTGGCCTGAAGCTGGCACACACTCATCTTTTCAGAGATGAGGACTCTGAAAGGCAAAGGCTTGGCTTGTCATTTGGGCTCTCCTCATCCTCCACGGATGGCTCTTTTCTGTCCTCTCCCCACTACTCTGGAGTGCCACAAATGCAGGAGCCTTGCACACGGGTGAGCACAGGAGATGTCGCCAGGGAGCCAGGAAGGGGCCTTGAGCTGGTACAGCTCCACATAGGACAGTCAGCCCCTACGCTCCTAGGGCTTAGCGACCTTCCCACCATGGCTCCCCAGAGGGAGGGGAATGCTCTGTTCCTAATTGTTTTTCACTGCCTGCAGTCCCTGGGTCTCCCATTGCTTTTGCTCTTCTTCCCAAGCCTTCAGGGATGCCACTTTTCCCCTTGACTGCTGCAGGCACTTCCTGCGCAAGGAGTCCCAGAGCCTGTTTCTTTCCTCCTCTGTGCACAAGCGAGGCTGTGCTTGCAGGGCAACAGCAATGCAGCAGCAGAAAGCGTTAGTCTCCCCAGTGGAGGGCTGGGGCAATTTTCGCTCTCCCTTCTTTTCAGCCTCTCTGTCAGCCCTGCTTTGCTCGCAGTCCTCACAGGCCATGCTGCAGCGCCTTTCTGCAATTACCCCTGAGCCAAGTGGCCATGGGGCTGAAAGCAACCCAGCTGCCTGCTGTCCCAGACAAGCCTAGCAGTGCTGTTGCCATTACAAACACCACCAAATCAAGTCTTTGGGTGTTTCTGGACATGACAGAACTGAAGGCTGTCTTCTAAATCGACAAAACAACCTGCTGCTTCTCGAGAAAGCCTAGGGAGAAGTGCTTCAGCCTTCAGCTAAGCACACTGTATGGGGTCTTCCAAGACATGACATCCGAAGAACTGTGCTTTTCTCCAGGAAGATATGACACTCCAGTCCCTTCAGGAGCCCATGCCACATACCAGTTCTTCCCTCTTCTTCTCTGGTCCAGTGGGGGGTGCAGGTTGTGGTCCAGCTTCCTCCAGTTGTTGGCCACTGTGTGCCTCTTTCCCCAAACGACGCCACCGCAGCACTGCCAGCTCACTGCAGACACACGGCGGGAGGAGGAGGTATGAGCACAGGGAGATGGCTCTCCAGCCAGGGCTCCCAAGCTGGGCACCTGCCAGGGCTGCAGGAGGCAGCTCTGCTGAGAGGCCGGTGCCAGAAGAAGTGCTTCTCTTCCTCCCCTGGTGCTGCGAGGAGCCGGAGGAAGGGCACTGTCAGATAGGAAGCACTGCCCGTGTCTGGAAAGACTTACCACCTGAGCTTGTCCTGCAGATCCCTCTGGTCATCCCTCTGTCTCCTGCGCTCGCGGGTGACCTTCGCCAGGATGCATGTCACCACCTCCAACAGAGTCTGGTGTGTCCGTGGGGAAAGGCTCCTACAACAGCAAAGACAAAGTCTTTCTGAGCCTTCAGCTGTGACCCTCCTGCCTCTTCCCACACCCAGCCCCACACATACATGGGCTCACTTGGCCCCACAGCTCCTTCAAGGCAGGAGAAGTTTCAAGCACCTGCTGTGGCCCCTGCCGTGGCCCCTGCCATCAGGCTCTAACCCAGCTCGTTCCTGTGGTTGGAGAAGTCCCCAAGTGCTCTGTGCGGCCCTGTGGCTCAGGGGTTGGCTTCCTTGACCCACCACCGGTGGCTCACCACCACCCCATTGCCCCAGGCCTTGCCTGGAGCCAGCGTGCTCTTACCGCTTAGGGGGGACAGTGTCATCCTTGTGGACAGTGAGGTGCTCTTCTACAGTCTCTTCGCAATCCTTCAT